TATATATATATATGGATGTGGTTTTCTATCTGTTCTGTCTGCCAGATGGAGGGTTAGTACATGCACTGCTGAAATTCTTTATTTATACCTCTGACATGTACGAACATGATCCATAAAAGTTTCAAGTGCTCAGTGTGTCTATTTTCACCAATTATTTATTTTTTGTATACTATTAATATTCTTTTGTTACATAAGGTACACTATTAATATGGCTTTGTTACATAAGGTGACTGCTCCTCCACCAGTTCCAAACAAACGGGAATACACTGTTGTTGGAAATATGAAACATGGTTTCCCACAGAGAAGAAAAATGAAAGAAAGTTTTTCTGGTACGTACACATGACATAGATCTTAAAACATGCAGTTCTCAATAGGTTTCTTTAGTTCTTTCCCAGCTCCATGTGCTTTAAAAATGAACAGGGAAACACAGCTTTGAACTCTGTAAGTAGAGGACCACATACTTGTGATAGTTTGGGATTATAAAACCTTTTGCTGTATTAGGTAGAAATAAGTAACTTAAAATATGTTTATCTGCTGTAAATGAAATTTTACAAAAAAAAAAAAAATTCACATGCTCACAATATACAGGTTGATGTGTTTTCTACAGCTGCATTTAATATTTACACTTGAGCCAATAATTCAATTTTCTGCACAATCAATTCATTTAAGTATGCTCTTGTTGCAGATGGGCATGGCATTTTGTATAAAGGTGAGGTTGTAAATGTTCAGGGACCATCATCAGCCATTCCAGGTGCTCTACTTGTGTCGTCTGGCAAGAGGACAACGCAGGTGCCATATCATTACACAGAGTTCTCTGCGAGTTATCTGGTAAGATTACCTAAGTCAGATTCCACTTATTTCTTTTACTTATTAAAAAAATGATCATGTAAAACACTTCACATTCCACTGAATAGTGACAATTTTAGAAAAACCTGTATCCCTTAAATTGTCACCATGAGTACTCTCAGTAAAGGGACATCCAACACAAGTCAGTTTCCACTAGAAACTGAAACTTGGGATGGCTTTTATATTTAAATTACCAAATTTCTAAATTTAAGGATGCGTCTGGTACATTTGCTGGTCAAGATGAAGGAGTTTGCATTTAGGACAGAAACATATGATCAACACAAGCAAAAGGAAATCCTGCATGATGTGAAACAAACAAGGGCTTCAAGAGATTTTTAGATTGAAAAACATGACAAGGAGACAAACATAAAGGTGTCAATGATAGACCAAAGACAAGTTTTCACAGACTTACTCGTTCCACCCAAGTTAGGTCAAGGAAGTGAGAAACATCTCTGTTAAGACTTTTGGGAAGGAGCTTACATGCACATTATTTAAGTAGAATGCCAAGTGTCCCCATGATGGCAAAACATCAAAAATGGTCATATCCTTAATTTACTAGAAATGGTTTCAAACCACCAGCACTGAGCAAGTTTTGAAGTAAGGCTTATGCTGCTTAATGAAGAGTAAAATCTCCACTGTGGAGTGATTTGCAAAATAGCTCTCTATCATAATTCAGTTACGTTAAAACAAAAAAAAAGTATTCAGATAAGATAAGCATATGGAATATTGTTATGTTTACTTACAGTTTTCTTTTTGTACATATTATAAATATAAATTTTTCTCCATTGTAAAACTGAGGCTAAACAATATTATTTTGTGTTATTGTATTTATATATTTTGAGATAAATTAAATATTTAAACAACTGTCATTTGTAGCTTGGTTTAGCATAGCTGTGAAGTTACACATGATATCTTATTTTCTAATATGCGTAGCTTCTTGGGTAACATGAACCATTACACTATGAGGCACGTACAACAAAGAAATAACATTATTTTTTTATTTTCCATACTTCTATCAAAAACTTCAGTTAATTTAAGTCTGGAAAGAATTCCAACTCACTGTCTCCTAAGATTTGTAAGCTTTGGTCTGTATTTTTGAAACCATCATTCTTGCATAAAAATCCTGATATTCCTCTGGAAGTTCTTTTAACGTTTTTAAAGCTCTGTCTAAAATCTGCATTGCACGGCCCACAGGCAATGGGTCTTTGTTGCCATAAGTGTCTTTACTGTCATATAAGTGCTCCTCCAGATGTTTCCAGAACACATTCACTGATATAGCAAAGTCCAGTGATTTCACATTATGGAACCACATAGCTGGAAAAGAAAAGAAAAAAGAGAAAAGAAAATTATTCATTAAATTCTGCTCCAAGTTAACAAGCAGAAATACACACACATTAGAAGGAGTAGACAAACACCAGGAAATTATTTTAATATATCTAATTACTAATACTTGTTCTGCACTTTTTTCAGTTGCACAAATTAAGTAGTTTTCACTCAGCTGTGAGGATGAGCAGAGGAAAGATATTACCTGGTATAAATAATGTATCCCCAGGCTCCAGTAAGCAACAATATCTTCTTGCTTTGACAAATTCTGGAAACTTTTCACTATCTGGGTTGTCAACATCCAAAACTTCTGACTTATCACCTTTGTAATAAAGATGGGTAATGTTATAATATATGTAGCTTTTTATTTCAGAAAAAATATTCAATTTTATTCCCCTTTTCTTAAATGAAAAAAAAACAACATCTACTGGTTTATAATAATAAATAAATGATCACTTAAAAAGACAAAAATATCAGATGTTACATTCAATTTAAGTAATCCAGTGTTGAATTTGGTCACAATTTTTTTCTGTAAGTTTTAGATATGAAAAAACTTTTGCAAAACAGTCTGTCATTACTGTTATGAGGTTATGTATCCTACTTACCTTGCAAGTATAAATAATTTGCATCTCTTGGGCTGAATAAGATCACTTTTTTCCTTCCTGTCACTTGAATTAAAAAGTTATCCATTACCTAAAGTGCAAATGATGAAGTTTTTCAAAAGTGTTTCTCTTTTGAATTTTTGACATTATTTCAAATATCTTAGGGCTCAATCCCAATGAACTTATCATTCTACCTACTCTATCCAACTCTGTGGAGACTGTACTTATGATATTTACACTTGCTAGATTAATTATCTTCAAACACCACTCATTCTAATCACAACAAGGGAAATGTCCACCCACATCATAGTGTGTCCATAGCTGGATGTTAGCAGAAGATATTCTAAACACGCTTGAGAAAAACTTTTCTGGCTCAAAGTATTCTGGAATAAAAATATCACTAGCCAATGCAGGAAATTGCTTCCGAATGTCTGCTACATCCTTCCTTGGGTCATCACCAAGTGCTCTCAAATAATATTTCTCATCCTGGAAAATTGAAAAATGTGATCAATATAAACAATTTTTGCCATTTGGGAGGATCAAAATTTGCTGTCTCACTTACCAAATTACATAAATTAAAAATATTTATAATGCCACATATAATTTATATAATAACATGTTCTTTCAAAGAAATACAATTGTTAAATGTTTGCATAAAGTATTGGCATGTTTTTTTAATCACCTCTGTAAAGAAATATTCTTCATGTTTTTCTCTAGCAGCTCTCTTTACAAATTCACTAAATGGCAAGGTCCTGAAACAAATTAAACTTACTTTTAGTGATCTGCCTAGTAAAACACATAAAAGAAGTGTTTATTTCATCCATAATTTTCATTTAATAATCTATAGCTGAACATAAGTCATTGATAAATAAATAATGACAACCATTTTAATGTGATGAAATCCTGATTTGTTATAACCATATTTAATGTGATGAACTCTTGTTAGAAAACATGACTTACCTGTATGCAAAATTTTTGTTTATAAAATCCATCTGATGACTTGGAGAAACATGAATTTTTACATCTTTTTCTGATCCAGGCACACTTGATAAATAATCTGGTGTCCATTTCTTTACACATGGACCTATGGAAATCCCTCTCAGCACTACTGGTATTCTCTGGAAAGGGGAAAGAAGTCTTAAATTAAAACTGCTTTATGCAATTATTGATTATTATAAGAATGGCTCATCAAACTTATCTGATATATCCTCCAGATTAACTTTTCTTCTCAATGAGTGACAATTAACTTTGATAACTAGAGAACTATGAGGTTAATTGGGCTGGATTTTAACAACATAAATTGCAACATAAATTGACTGTTACCGGTACCTTGGGATAAATATGTTGAATAAAATTTCCCTTAGAGTGGTCTTCAATTATTTCCACCTGATGCTCTAACAAATTAGACATGTCTGTTATCTGATCAAATACCAGTCCTAAAAAGAGAATAACACAGTTTTTCAACTTTTCACACCACAACTGAATAAGTCACATTATAAAGATAACTTGAACCTTATTTTTTGTATCCACCTGATGCTCTAACAAATTAGACATGTCTGTTATCTGATCAAATACCAGTCCTAAAAAGAGAATAACACAGTTTTTCAACTTTTCACACCACAACTGAATAAGTCACATTATAAAGATAACTTGAACCTTATTTTTGTACCCCTTCTTTTGCAAGCTAGCTGACTAAGTTAAGCTCTCCATAGATAGCAAATTGAACCCCTTCGTTCCCTAAAGCTGAAATAAGCAGAACACCACACCCAGTGAGTGGCATGGTGATTGGGAAAACAACAACAGAATTAAACAATCGTGATTGATGAGGGAAGCAGGGTTTACATTCTATAGCATTCCTAAAAGTTAATGACTTTCAGAAAGTACCTAACATGAAAAGCCGATAACAGAAGCAAACATTTAATTTGGTACCAGATGGTAATCGGTACTTTTGCAGTACCCACACCCGGTGTGACTGAAATGCGCAATACACTGCAATACAGCGCAATACACTTGATAACACAAGTCCAGTTGCAAGTAAACACAGGAAAGGGTAATCTCAAATAAAATAGGGTGATATAAAAGCAAAATATAGTACATAGTAATTAATATTGCTGATACAACTTGACAATTTTTTCATTGTTTGGTCAGCCGCCATGTTGGCGAGTAGCTCTTCTTGGCAAGTAATATATCCAAGAAGAGCCACTCGCCAACATGGCTGCCAACTGGACAATATAAGTCTTGTTGATTTGTTAAGTTATATCAACGATATTACTTACCTAGTAATATATAGGTTGTTTTTATATCACCCTACTTTGCTGGGAATGGTCATTTCTTTTGTGTAATTGCAACTGGATTTGATTTTTGAAGTGTATTGCACTGTGTTGCGCTGTATTGCGGTGTATTGCGCATTTCAGTCACACCGCCCACACCCTGTAACTCTCTCGTGTTTTAATACTAATCAAAATTATGTGGCGACTTTGATCAATGTTTCTGCTATTCAAATAAATCAGTTTGGAAACGTACTAACTTATTCTTTAGAGAATAAAGTGATTTTTTCTTCAATCAACGACTAAATATTGGAATTTTTTTACCTCCAATATTTCGCCGTCTATCAGAGTATCTGATGATGATGAATGATCAAAATTGGTAAAAAAAATGTTGAATAGCACAAAGTTACATGGTGGAAGGGAAACGGCAAAAGTACCTGGTAACCTTTAGAAAAATGAAACAATTACTTCAATGGATAGAACAGTATGACTAAGAAACACCATCAAATTTTAACGGCATTTGTAACTTCCCCCCGTGAATCGTGGGTGCTGCCATATTGAATATCGTTTTTACCCTTTTCATACGAAAGATCGCTCACGGAAAACACCGGGATGACACGATGATACACGAATAGTTCAAAACAAACTTGTCATGGCGTGTGCAGGAAAATTGATCATTTGTAAGATTTTGATGTTTTCGACGTGATATTGATGGTTCACTGCAGTTATTGAATTCGTTATGGGGAACTATGTATCATCACATCTGAATGCAAACTCTGAGAAGAGAGGTAAAAAGAGAGATGTCAGCGACGTGCAGCCCGAAGAAGAAAAAGTACAAGAACAGAATTTCCAGACACCAAAAAGGTTGGTATAATCTAATGTGTAAAATAAAATCTTGAAGTTGTGGTAGCATGCGCTTTCTAATTTTATATATCTGTGACTTCAAGTTTATGCCTTTTAAGTCTTGATACAGAAAAGTTTATCTAAAAATGAAATTATAACCTTTATACATTTTTGTACATGTACTAGTATGTAATTTTGATAAATATAGTTGATTAAGAAGATTTTTCTCGAACTCTTATTGTCTATATCTTACTTACAAACTGACTCAAAGCGGTTGCTTTAACCGCCAAATTACACCATATAAATGAAAAATGTGAACTATAAAAGGTACTTTTTGTTTACTTGAAAAACAATGATGGTACAAACGTATGAGAATTTTAAGTCACTGAGGAGCATCTTATAATATTGGTTCTGTTAAATTGAGGCCTTACCCTACTTCTGGCCCAGTGGTATGTAGAAGATTGAGGTGCTTTTTTACTTTTATTAAAATGTACTGTTTTATATCAGTGTTACCTAGAACCTGATACAGTTTCAACCACAATTCCTTAAAAGAAGTGAATGACATTGGAAATAGAGTATTGTGTGTCTTTTCTATCTGATTCAGTAGTAATGGCATGTTCTTCATTTATTTCAACAGGCGGAAACTGAAGTCTACCACCAAGTATATTTACCAAACTCTGTTTTTGAATGGAGAGAACAGCGATGTTACAATCATTGCAATGGGAAGGGAATGGCCACTGCATAAGGTGTATCTATGTCAGGTATGAAATGTGTTGATATGAAAATTAGTTTAAAGGCCATCTCTCTATTACTAGTAAGTTCCTAACACAAATATATCCAAGCGAAGTTTTTAAGACCAATTTTTTTGTGGATCTTTTTGTCAAGTTTGTTTAGCTAAAGAAAGATTTACTAGTACATTGTATATGCTTTATTTCAGTTTCACTTAGTAAATTGTTTTCTTTATTAAATTTTTTTTTTATTGGACATAACTCTGTCTTTGTTACTGTAATCGTTCTTACAAATATTCATTCATGCAGAGGTCTTTCATATTTATTTGTGGCTGAGAAACATAACTTAAAAGTAATTACAAACCTCTTCTTTCAGTTTTGAATAAATCATTTATTCCAAAAGGCATTACAGGTGCATGATTCATATCATGGTGAGAGTAATAAGATGCATTTTATTTTCATCTGGTTTCAATTTTCTTTGACACACCTCCAATCTCCAAAAGCTAGGCCTCTCTTTGAAGGTGCTACCAAATCAGTTGGCACTGGTGGATCTGGTATTAGGATCTCTGGTGGCTTCATCACGTTGAGACATTTCAGTCCCTGAGAACAGCCACACCCTCTCCAAATCCCACCACACCAGGCATTTTCCTTGATATAGCTGTAACAGTATTCTGAAATACATTTAATAAATAAATAATAATAATAATAATAGTATTTATTACATGTCCAAACTTCTTATGAAATTTTCACTTGACTTGACAAATGAATAGATAAATATTTACAGCAACTGATGCATCCACTTAATTTGACAGGTACTGGTACATGTATCTACACATTAAGATGACATAATACTTTTAATGCATAATATTTAGAGTATAAAATGAGTATTATAAATGGAAAAGGACATATTTTGAAGCTCTGTCTACTTTTAATTGTGTGATATCATTTTGTTTTTTTTTTTCCTCCATAACATTGTTCCGTTTTAGCTTACACTTACTCTTGGGCTGCCAGGTCATTGGATTACTTTTATCTGGAAGTAGTACAGCTCTTTTGCTAGCTATGAATGGGTTTGGCTCTTCAGCACAGCACTGCCCATCATCACAGTCATCACTGCTTGCACACTCCCGCTTTGTAGGGAGCACCAGAGCACTCTAGAGATATGGCACAAAAGTCAAGAAGGGAAGAAAAAGAGGGGGGGGGGGGGATCAGTACTTAATATGATGGGTTTTTTAAACATCCCTGTCAGAGAGTCAGGGGCAGACAGAAGCCATCTTCTGGGTCTTCCAGAAGACGTCAGAATTTTTCAGATTTACATTGACAGGCATCATCTTTTTTCTTCTGAAAGAGGGTCAAAATTGGAGGATGGATCAATGAAGGTAATTTGGAAGACTGTCAGAAAATATCTCTGGATCCGCACCTGAGAGTGTTTTGAATTTGATTTAAAGAATTGATAATTATATGACATCAAAACATGTTTAGATGATACCTAGTTACAGTTCTTTTCATACAAAACTTGACACTTTTTGAAAAACTGATTAAATCCTTGGATTTTGGTCTCTTTTACTTACCAAGGTCAGGCCCAGCAAGGCAAAGAATACCACCAGTGTCTTCATACTGCTTGTCTGTTTTGAGTGGCAGTTGTGGTTTGAGAAGGTGTTATGTACGGTGAACATGTTGCATGGATATAATGTCAGATAACCCTTCACCTTTCTGTGTGAATCCCTTCAGCTGATATCATGTCTTGTCCTAAAACTGATCCTTGGTGGAGGATGAGTGGGCTGGCCATCATCAAAAACAGCTTTATAGTCAATGTTCTGAGCTTCAGGGCCCATTCCCAATGTCCCAATTCTACATATGTCGGTCCAACTTGATGGAGACTCTCAGTGAATGTAAGCAGATTAACATGCCTTCTCTAGGCATAAAGCCAGTGTATTGTTACACTATTTGGTATAACTACATACTAAATAAATATGGAAAGTGGGAAAGTGAGGAAAAAAAGGAAAGAAAGAAAATTAATCTGTCTGAGATATTAGTCAGTAAAAACAGAGGATTAAAATGTTTTGACCAGCTGGTGATTTATTGGCTTGGAAGTAGATGGATCATTTTCACATAAGTGGTTTGGTATTATTTAATTTTTAAAATTCAAATTTATGATAGTTCCATGTTACTCCGTTGTTTTAACACAGCGGAAATCTCCTAATGCAATAACCCTTTTAGCATCAATTTTCGTAGGGATTTTTACAGGGATAGCAGTTGCTATGGTGGGGGGTTGCCACAGGTTCTTGCAGGTGAGGCCCTCAGCACATCCGCACATGGTCCTGAAACCACCACAGAAGCCATTTTCCTGTATGTAGGAGTAGCAGTAATCTGAAAAGAAAAAGTGTCAAAGCATCAAAAAAAATAATAATAGTAATAAATGTTGTGGTTTGTAGGCATTAGGGCTCTGTTTAAAACCAAGTTGATTTATGTACTAACTGATCCGCAGATCAAATATAGCTGATCCACTTGAAAGCTCTTTGCATAATCCCCTATTAAATGGATTCCCTGCATACTTTTGAAAGATTGTTGTTCCAGTACTGCAAGTCCATGCAAGTATTTTACAGATCAACTCTAATGTGTCATTTAGGATAATTGTCAATGTTATGTACAGAAACATTCATGCATGCATAGTAACATTCACGCATGTATGCCCATGCACACATGCACACACATTTCTGTCTTACTTTTTGGTTTCCATTCCCAAGGTTTTATAGGTTGCAAAACGTCCCTCTTGCTTGCAATGAATGGGTTCGGTTCTGGGGCGCAACACTCTCCGTCCCCACAGTCATCATTCGACTGACATTCTGTTTTGGTTGGCAGTACAACGGCACCCTGGAGAAGTCGTATAAATTCATTGTTTTTTTTTTTTAAATATGAAGTATATTTATATGGAATAGAAAATAAAGTTAACAAATTTATAGGTGTTATGAATCTGAAATAAAATTAAAGTAGATTTTGCTTCTACTTATTTTGTCAAGATTGATTAATTGTTCATACTTACATAGGCCAGACCAACCATAAAGAGTAGTACAAACAAGCTATTCATGTTGTTGACCTTACTGCGTAATTTACCAGTCTCTTCTGAATCTTTCTATTTTTACCTTCCTTTAAATCCTTCAGTTCATGCTGGCAAAATCAGTATTATCTTTGTCATGTTTTGGCATTGACCATCCTTGCTGTATAGGTGTAAGAAATGATGTCATAAGCTCTTATCTTGCACATGGTCAAAGTTGCATGCTTTGCTTTTAAGCTGGATTATTTTGGATATGGTATCAAGATGTGTTATTGCACAGGCAAATTAAATTGAAGTTGTTAATGAATATATATATATCTGCATTGTAGTACATAATGCATTTCTTAATTTAATAACTTAAAAATGCTGTAGGTACCTTAAGACAAAAGTGGAAGCTGCTTTACAAAAAAATCCAAAGGGTCTGAGACCTGTCAGTCTTGTTGTCAGTCCCCCTCTTAGCAATTTTGGAAAATATGTTTATAAAATTCATGATATTTATAATATGTTTTGATATATAAAATAGTTTCAAAAATGAATAGTATATAGTTTTCTTATATACAAATGTGATAAGTCAATTGACATATGTCAGAAGATGGAGACAGGAGAAATAAGTAAGACCAAGATAAAAAAAAAATTATATGAATTTGAAATTTATTTTCACTATTTAGTTTTACATCAAGAACAGTTCAATGTTTATGTCCAACAGTGCCAATAATCATAAATATACTGTTAGATCAGGTCGTTTTACTGTTGTACTTTAGTGCAGCGCCAGTCCCCAGGGCGGATATCTCTCTTGGAGACTTCTTGAATGGGGACAAGGTTTATTGGTTTAAACACATCCTGGCAGCTTAGTCCAGAGGCACAGCCACAGGTTGTTTGAAAGCCACCACACCACTCATTCTCTTGTATGTAGGAGTAGCAGTACTCTACAAAAGAACCAACATACAGACCTCATAATTACCTATTGCATATTAGGTGGCAGTTATATGTGGTTATAGTCTGTCTAGAAAAAAAAGAACAACAACAGAAGTCCCCTTTCAAGTTTTATCATTGGTATGAGGTATCTTATCCACTTCATCAGATGAAACTTTATAAATATATGTCCAATAATAGACTTATGTCTTATATTTCTGTGCATTTCTTTACTATTTCATTAGCAGGTTCTTGGCATGTTTTTCTTAATTTGCACAATAACTGCCATTCATGTACTGAACATATTAGCGCTATTGTATTTGTCCTTACTTTTAGGTTTCCAGAGCTCAATAGGCTGTGGCACAGGCTGCAGCTCCCTCTTGCTGACCATGAAGGGGTTAGGCTCTAAGGCACAGCATTCATTGCTCTGGCAGTCAGCACTCGTAGTGCATTCTTGACGCTTCACTGCTGCACTCTGTGGAGGGAAAAAAGTTAAAATATATAAATATATTTCATTTTTTATTCAGACTTGCTACAGTCTTGGAATGGTGTTTCAGAATTAAGCATTTTTTTATTTTCAGTTCATTTCAGTGCAATTTTTAAGACAAAATGATTTCAAAAATAAAAGCAACTAAGAGCTTATGCTCAAAGGTAGTTTCTAGATATACTACAACTGCTCATGTTTTCCTGGCTAAATAAATGATACTCACAAAAGCAGTTGCCAGACAGGCCAGGAAAACCAGCAGGAGCTTCATGTTCAGTATTTAACCACTTTGTGGAATGACAGTCCTTTGCAGTGTTTACTGTACAGGGCTGATGATCTCCAGCTGCAGGTTTTCTCAGACAATGGGTGTGTCAGAGGGGATTGCTGTAAATTTGACCACAAGGGTGTGACATGGGTGCCTTCAACTCGTATGAATCATATTATTACTGTATTATTTTATCACAATAGTAATGCAATAATTTGTTTTGTGACATGATCACAGATTTTCACGTCCATCTATGGGTCTAGAGACAATCACTTACATTCAGTTTATTGGTCTAACATTGCCAAGAGGTGGCCACTCCCAAAGTCAATAATTGCATAATGCTGATAGAAGCAATTTCCTCATTTCTTTGCATTTTTGCCAACTACAAGCATTTAGGCATTTCCTACCTTTGCTGTTGATCCCAAGTTTTAAATAAATATTTTTCTTTTAAGCAATTTTTTTCTTTTTTTTTTTTTTAAGATGACTTCAAAAAATACCACCTAAAAGTCTATTTTGCTTGCAGTGTAGGTACTTTGCAAGTTATTCTGTCACACACTTTGCTATTAAGCTGGATTATGTTGGGTATGGTATCAAAATATGTTATTGCACAAATTAAACTAAGTGTTGTTAACATATTAACAAATTTACTAGTATATCTAGTATACATGTAGTGTACCTTTAAACAAAAGTGTAGGTTGCTGTACAGAAAATGAGAAGAACTGAGACAAGTTGGTCTTATTGTCTGCAGTCCTTTTAAGCATTGTGGGAAAACCTGTATATATTCCAAAATTATATACATACTTCTTGCATTTTGGGAAAACCTGTATATATTCCAAAATTACATACATACTTCTTGTCTTGACAAAAAGCATTTTTGATATTTTTAAACTTGAAAGCATTGATTTGTCTTTATGATATGCTTGATTGTCAATTTTCATAAAAGTGAATAGTATTCATGTTGTGAGGTTTCTGATTAATGATTATGATTAGTCAATCAACATATTAGTTAGACTATGAAGACACGAGGACAGTAATGAAAAGAAAAGAACCAAGATAAAATTATACGAGAATAAGGTTGATGTGATCAGATTGAATTTTATTTTCGCTGTGTAATATTACACCAAAGACATTTCAAAGTAATATAGAACAGTTTCAGTAATTGCAATGATGCAGTTGAATCAGGTCCTCTTACTGTTGTACTTTAGTGCAGCGCCAGTCCCCAGGGATTGCTCTCTTGGAGACTTGTGGGATAGGGTCGGGTTCCAATGGTTGCATCATATCCTGGCAGCTGAGTCCAGAGGCACAGCCACATGTGGCGTGAAAGCTACCACACCATCCATTCTCTTGTATGTAGGAGTAGCAGTACTCTGTAATAGAGAACCATTATGTTACACCTTACCTTTTGCATATTAGGTGTCAGTTGAACATAGTTACAGTAGTAAAAAACAAGTTTCTTTTAATTCTTATTAAAACATACAGGTGTGATGTCTTTTATTATCTTCATCCGATAAAAGACTTATATATCTTCTCTCGATCTGTATCCTCTCTTTATTTATTTATTTCATTATTATAGTTTTATATTACTTAGGTTTTTCTTAATTTAAATGATAATTGTCATTTTTTGCTTAATTTAAATGATAACTGCCATTCATGATTAACGTACAGCAAATATAACTGTCAGTGTTTTTGTCCTTACTTTTGGGTTTCCAGAGTTCAATAGGTTGTAGTATAGGCTGCAGCTCCCTCTTGCTGACCATGAAGGGGTTAGGCTCCAAGGCACAGCATTCATTGCTCTGGCAGTCAGCACTTGTAGTGCATTCTTGACGCTTTACTGCTGCACTCTAAAAAAAAAGTTAAAAATTTTGTTGAATTTTTAATAATATTTTTTCAGGAATGCAGTGGTCGTGGAATAGTGTTTCTGATTTCGGCATATATCCTTTACTGATATCTGCTTTTTGTTTTCATTTCAGTGCATTCTGAAATGAATTAGAAATAATAGCAAATTAGGACTGGACTAAACTGGACTAAATTACTTTTCAGGTCCACTTATTTTCTTTGAAATTGTGGTCTTTTGCTCAATTTAGTAACAGCATGCATGAATCAAAATAAGGTGTGGTCATATTTTTCTGGGTAAATAAATAATACTCACAAAAGCAGTTGCCAGACAGGCCAGGAAAACTAGCAGAAGCTTCATGTTCAGTACTCTTTGTGGAATGACAGTACCTTGCAGTGTTAACTCTTCATGACTTATGATCTCCAGGTGCAAGTTTTCTCAACCAACAAGTGTCGTATGTCGGAGGGGATTGCTGTAGTTTTGACATAGAGTGTGACATAGGTGCATCAACGCATGTGAATCAAATCGCTACTGTATTATATTATCACAATATAAATGCAATACATTTTTTATGCCAGTAGCAGCAATTTCCCCCTTTTTTGCCACCTCCAAGCTCTGTTGTTGATCCTGAATTTTCAGTCAGTTTTTTTTTTCTTTTTAGTAACTTTGTTTGCTTTGTTTGTTTAAGATTATTTTTTAAAATATACCATCAAACACTCTTTTTTGCTTTCAGTGTGGGTACTTTGCAAGTATGTTCAGTGGCTCTTGGAGAGAAAGTGAGCAGTCTGTGATAAACATGGACATCCCTGATGACAATATTGATGAGGAAGGTAATGGTGTTGTAGCTCTGAGCACATACTTATTGAGATCAAATGAATTGTGCATTCTTTTCAGTGTGTTTTATTACCAGATTGATCCCAGAACACAACTTGCATTGTATTATGTAATTATTGCATTTTAAACAATATTTGAAGTATCACTGATTGGCTTGAGTACTTGTATGATCTAGGGTAACTTTTCTAGTGGCGGACATAGCACTGAATTTTTCTGTAAATATTGTGATACATAGAAATCAATCCATATTTTTATTGTATAGGACTGGACAGACATTATGTATTCTAGCCTTGATAAATTAATTCTTCTTGTGTTTTTCAGCCTTGAAGATTGCATTTGGATCTCTGTATCGTGATGATGTGTCCATTAAGCCTGCCAATGTAGTGAGTGCCTTGGCGGCAGCAACACTACTACAACTGGTAAGACTGGAAATTTGATATAACAATTACTTAGCCATCCTAGAAATGAATTCTTTGCATATATGCCATAGATAAGTCCAGTTTAATTTTATTATTTTTGCGTCAGCAACTTTGTAAATGCCTCTGAATTTTCAGCATTGTTAAGATTTGTCAAAATTTGATTAGCTCCCTTTGTTTATTAGAATTATTGTACACTTTACAACAAAGATAATGGGGTATTATATATGTATTACAGGTATTCTGACTGTGCATAATGATATATAGGAATTCTTTTTTTTTCTGCAAAGCCACAATTTTCAAGCTATTAATTTATGCCCATCTGACACAATGGCATTTGTCATTCCAGGAAGGCCTTATTTGTCAGTGTGCAGAAATAATGAAGGAGACAATTAGGTAAGCTTTCATATCTCTTGGCTGCTTGCTTCTGCTACCTATGTGCTGTAAAGCATCTTCCAAAACAACTGTATTTTGTGACCTCACCATGGAGGAATAGTAACAACAAAATTTTGTGTTGAGATATTCCTTACTGACTTTCACTGTGTCTCACTTGCTGAGTGACACAGAGAATAAAGTTCATATGTATAGCCAAATCTTTGATAGTAGGCAGTCATTTAAACAAGGTTTAGTAATTAATATTATTTTGGTGAGACTTTCTGAATATAAAGAAATATTTTCACTAAATTACTCTTTTTCTTGCATGATTCATAATATACAGCATCATGTTTAATTTGATATGATTACGTGCTTGTACATAGACTTGTTGCACTACAAAGTGGACAAAAATTGTACTATGTAGGCCATCATGATTGCAATTGGTATACAGATAACAAAATGACACTGTACTGATTTCATCAAATTTTTATATGGAAAATGGAATGAAATACATGTACAGGAATGCATCTTCAATATACATTTACGGTAATGACTCGATCTTTGATGCTTTTACTGTATATGTGATGCTTTTACTGTATAGAATCCCCCCCCCTCCCCAATTGAAAAGATCAAGCAATTACTGTTAGTATTTGATATTTATTGGACTGTTTTTACAGTATTTTCCCCCTATGTATTCTAGTGCTAAGACTGCCTGTTGGTACTATGGAGCTGCCCAGATGTATGGCCAGCAAGGGGTGGCCAAGAAGAGCATCCAGTGGCTGGAGAAACATGTCATGACTATGCAGACTACTACTTTACTCAGAGAGATCAGGTGAAGAGATGATTTAGAAATGTGCTCAATTTAGTGATAATAAACAATGTAGGCGTAATGTCTCGGCACTGAACTCCCTCACTTCCCTCATGTCAGCTATTACTAGGTTTTAAAGTTGATCTGAAATTTCCCACTGTTTGATTTAAGAAAACATCCCATATTCACAAGTATGTTGGCTGTTTTATGTGTATTCAATTGTTTGTTGTTTGTTCACTGTTATTTATGTATTTAATTGTTTGTAGCATTGACCTTATGAAATTACTGGTGTCCTCCCCAAACCTCTATGTGATGCAGGTAGAGATGGATGTATATACCATGCTGAAAAAGGTAAGGTATTTGAGCAAGTCCATTCAGGAACAAGAAATCAGAATTTGTATTGCAGTCTATATTTTAAACAAGTTTGGTTATGTGGAATACACATAAGTTCTGCCAGTGTGCTGACAGACAGTGAATATATGTATAAGCACAATTTTTTACCTGATATTCATAAAAAAAGAAAGTTAATTTGGGAGTAAAATCAAACATTGCCTGGTTGGGCTTTTGCAACCTATTCTAATGTTTCACTGATAGAAAACCACAATGGATTATTTGTTAGGACGCCTTTTATTAACCTTTTGTACATCATACCAAAATTCAGAATGAGACTAAAGAAAATTAGATAAACAAATCGATTCTCATTGTCCTTTAATGCTTAGTTTATTGGGTATCGTCCTCACAAAAAGAACTGCCAGGTTTCCAGGGGATCCTCCTCTTAGTCTTGCCATCTGGGTAATAATTACATTGGAGACCTGGAGCACAGCCACAGGTAGCAAAGCCCAGATTGTGACAGGAGGCATTTTTCTGGATGTAGGCCACACATCTGCCCTCTATATGAACAAATAGATAACAAAATCTGTGAAAGACTATTTGTGATATCTTGCCTTCAAGCAAACACCACTGCAATCTCCTTCATTGGTGGAGGAAGTGAGATTTGATATGTACAAAAATAGTTAGTGAAAATAAAATAAAAACCATCACTTTGTACTTGAACATATCTAAACTAAAGGCTGTATTCTCAGTAAAGTAGATTTTCGAAGTTCAACAAGCTCAACAGCAAGCTTTGTATTCCATATCTTCATCATCCCTGCTATACCAAGTATGATAGGTAAAGTTTTTCTTTACAAAAAAACTAGAAAGCTACCTAGACTGGACTAAATTGTTCTTAATTTGTGTGCATTTATTTATACATATCTATTTAGTTAGATAGGGACACAGGTCTAGTTCATTAAGTTTTTTTTTGCAGTATAAACAGCAGTTAAAGGGTTTGGTATGAAAGTTGTTAAGAACATCTCACCTCTGGTAGGGCGAAAAGGCAAGTCCGCCAGACCCCTCTTGCTCAGTAAAAGGAAGTTCATTTCAGGGACACAGCATTCGTCATCATTACAGTCTGCTTTGGTCTTGCAGTCACGGATGGTATCTGCTCCCTAGATACAAATATCTACGTATATTTTGAAGTTACTTTAACCCTCCAATTTTAACTTGATTAGGAAATTGTGGCCTAAGTTTAAGACCAAGTGTGGTGCAGCTTCTTCACATCCGAATGCAAAAGTTATATTAGCATGGAATAAGCACTGAAACTTAGGGTAAGATAATTTTTTTAAAATGTTACTTGAGCAAAGACCTGTGCCATAGAAAAAGACCATAAATAATTCTAATTTATTTTTTTTTAAACATTCCTTAACCTAGATTCAAGTGAACTTGTCAACTTCTTTCCCATCCCAGTAGCTGTCTATCCTGAAAATTTCATCAAAATTTGTGAGAGATCCTTTTTGAGATATCTTGTCCAATAACAAACAACAAACAGACAAAAAAAAAACCAAGACCAATGAAAACAACACCCTTCCATGGCGTGGATAATATAGCAGTGCTAGCTGTGAAATAAATACTTACTAAGGCAACTGCTAATACAGCAAAGAAAATTATCAGTGTCTTCATATTGTCCTCTGTGCTGCTACTGTATGAGCTTGAAACTTTAAATCAGATTTACTAAGGGTGTAAGTCATGAGTTGGTGATGTGAAATGAACAGATGGAAATGAGACGCACCTATTTATAGGACTCATTTCAGACACAAAATATGGGCCTGTAGCCAGCAATTTCAAAAAGGGATTCTTTTTCTGAAAAAGTGGACCTTTTACCATGAAACCTTAACATACCTAGATAAAATTTTACCCAGAGGGGACCTTTGCCGGCAAACTCCACTGGCTACAGGCCTGAAATATTGTACAATTTTGATAGGAACCATGCCCATTTTACATTACTGATTCAATGAAATAAATTGTTCCTCACTTGTTGTGTATACGTTACTATAACCCAACACTATTTATATACCCTCCAAGTAATAAAAAAAGTTAACTTTTTTCTCTGCACTCAAAGTTCTTAGGTGGCCCTGTCACAGTTGAATTGTTTAAAAAGCTCTTTATTTGTCAACATAGCTAGTAAGCCTTCTTATTTGAACTAAGAATTTGCATTAAATACATGTTTTAAAAGATCTCTGTTTGTTTTTAGTGGATGTTTCTCCTGTGTACACCAACATGGAGTGGTAGTTCCAAACAGGTTGCTGAAGAAGCAGACAGCTATTTCAGAAGTACAGGTAAACCAACAATTTGCGTCTTCAGTGGATTCTGATTACTGTTCAAGTAATGAAAGGAAATATCTTTATATGTTTTCCCTATATTTGATTTTTTTTTTCAGATTCATTTTGCTTTTATACAGTTTTGAAATAATCATTTTCTTTGCACAATTTATATTTAAAAATACAAAACAAATCATAGGTAATCAAACAAACTGCAGTTTGCCTAAAATTGAAGACACAATTGCCTGTTTCAGAGCCACCCACAGTCTATTTCTTGGAGACGGAGAAAGGCCAGCAGTACGTTGAAGCCTTCCAATGCCTGAGGTTCCAGCATCTGGTGAATGACATCACGTCCACCCAGGTGTTAGAGAGGGACAGGATTGTCCCCGAGTCCTGGCTTTACCCTTGGTACAAGTGCCAGTGGCACCACATGCTGAAGATGGAGCAGGGCCTGGACCTGGGGCCTAAGGACATTGGGGATGAGATCTTCTACCAGACAGCTGTCAGATATGGAAGGGTGCTGAAAACTGAGAAGGAGGTACTGCATGCACTTTATCCAACTCTTGGTTTGAAGGCGAACTGTGGGTTATTTAATGCAGTTAATCCAAGAGATAGCAAAAACTGTCTGGGGTTCAATACATTAATTAATATGAATTTGAACTAGATTTATGAACAAAGGACATCCAAAAGTTAGGGCGTCTCTTCCAAGAACTAAATGTACAACATATGCCAATTATACCAAAACGTGTTGAATTTATGGGCCCCTATATTTTTTCAAAACTAGGGTGTGTTCCTTTATATTTCAGTATTGCTGGAGGTGGACTGGCTATCATTTTGGAGTGGATCTGCTGGTTACTTTTACCAATGGGTAAGTTAAGCATTAGGTCAGAATATGGCAAGTCTGAGAATAATCATCAAGAGGCTATGAACTGCCAGATGTTTGATACATTAACTATAGAGAGTGTGTCAAGCCTTTTAAACATAATAAAAAGTTTTTTAGTGAACTCTGGATTAGTGGTGTTTGACTAGAAATTTTAAGATTTTCAGTGATAAATTGTTTGGCAAATTACTATTATCATGTTATAACAACTGGTACATGTATGTCTTGACTTGTTCCAGCCTGCTGATATTGAAGAGGAACACCTACAGTCAAGAATGCCAAAGTTCTATTAGTTTACAGGCAAAGAGACATTTAGCATTTCGGTCAGTATTCAGCATTTTGGTATTGAATTTAAACAGGTTAAAAAGGTTAACTTTTAAAAAGTTCTAAATGAGGTGGTGAGTAGATGAAGAATGTTGCAAATGGGCTAGGTCTATAAGTGAACTGTGTGTGTGCACGTGCATGCGCACGCGTGTGTGTGTGTGCACTGTATGCTATTGGAATTCGTTTTGTTAGATATGAACGATCTACATTTAATTTTATGTTAAAATATCTTCTTATTTCAGAGTGACTGTGTCGTCATTTGATACTCTAGGACATACAGAGTATGTTAAGTCCAGTGGTATTAAATATCTCAGTCTTGGAAAAGATGAGGTGAGCACAGACCTATGGGGTTTAGATCATGTTCTACACTCTACACAGGTCTGGATTATTTATTAGTTTTTATGTTGTCACATTTTGCAAAGGGTAAATGGCTTATATTTTAGTTATCAGTGGTTTGGTTTTTCGTCTAGCATCTTGCTTCATTAGCTATAGAGTATTATTAACAGGTCTGGCTTATATTAGTGTTGCTTATGTTTGTTTAGTGATAAATTGGATTATGTCAAGTCTATCTTACAGTGATTTAGCTAAAAAAAGGATTGTCAGTGGATTCAGGGTAGATAGAAAGAGAACAATAAAAGGCTTAAACATTTTCACATATTATGGTGATTTACTAATCTAAAATTCTCTTTACTGTGTATTACAGGAGACAGTTGTGTTAGTCTTGGACCGCCATGTCACATTTCCATTGTGCATCAGTCTGAACATCTTATATTTTACTCCTAACATGGACATGATCCGTAAAGCTCAGGCAGCCATGAACTTTGATGCAGCTTCTCTGGTGAGAAGCACAGACTCTGTAGAGACAGCCAGCCAGACTGGCTCCACAAGCAGTTCTAACAGCTCCATACACAGGGATACGGAAGAGGAAGAGGAAATACAGGGGACTGCGGATAATGCACAGGGAACAGGGTTGGCTCCAAATGGACAACAAAGTGCTCCTAATGCAGGTGTCTGAAGTGGCGGATTTTTTTCCGTATTCCATATCTCTTACAATTACTCTTCACATAGGTGCAATCTTCACTGACGTTATCTTTGTACCTTTAATTAAACTTTTGAGGACAGTTAACATAGAACATTTGACATTCACAGGAGATTGGTGTATGTGATCATTTCTGTTAAGACTTAATGGAGACAGTTCAATGTTTGTTTGGTGTGACCATGGACTCATGTCTGATCAGTTAAAGGTGAATTTTTTTTGTAAGGAACATATTTATTTCAAGTTGACCATAAACTATATTTTTGCATTAAATAAATATTTCACTCACTGTAAAAGAGTTTATTTCAGTTTGTGTAAACGGGAATGTTAGTGAGCAGGCACTCATCCAATCACAATAACAATTAAATTAAATATCCCTTTTTCATTTATAAACCAGGCATGTAGAAGTCGATATACAAGATAATATTGAGAAGTTTTGTTTAAATGGACTGAAATGTTAAAGTATGTTTTCATTACTATAAAACATTAATATTAAAATGATGTTCTTCATAGTGTCAAGAAAAAGTAAAACTTGTTTTCTTTAACTATACTGGACAAAATGAAAAAAATGCATTTTCATGTTTCGCAAAAATAATTTTATAATGGAAATAATGCATTTTTTTTTTTACACAGAGTAATATACATGAATCAGACAATGTTAATCCCTGACTCTCTATATCAATTACTTATACTTTGCAAAAGCAACTTTGAGACAAATGTTTCTATTTTGTTCAGTATATATGATAAAAGTCATTATGCACACATGGTATTCTACTATTTCCCCTTTCAGGACGGAATAACAATATTCAAGATTTCCATATAAAATACACTTAGATATTTAATTTGCCTTGCATAAATTCCTAGTAAACCACTTTAAATAATTCCCAAACCTTAAATAAATAATTGAACATATTCTATTATAATATACTTTCCAAAGCTAACATTAACATCAGGGGACCTGCCCTTACAGAAATACAATACTTCTTGTAAAGATTTTCTTAATAGAAAATAAGTAAAAAGTAGAAATAAACAATAATCAGAAAGATGTTAATATTTTAATGGAATGTTTAAAAAATCACACCTCGTGTATTGGTTTATGCACTCTTCATAAGCAGACAAAATACACATGTATATACAGTGCTTTTCTTTTCAGTTTGTGTGACAAGTATGAGCAGACAAATGGCAAACTATCACAGTGTTGCTTTGAAGCTAAAAGTAAAAATGTTCAGATTCATCACATCAACTACACCATGATCCTTACATTGATTATGCACAGCTTTGCTCTATCCATTTTCAAAATTTATTAAACACCCCTGCACATAACAACAAAAATTAAAATATTATAACTAAAATAAATAAAAGCATAATCCAGCACAGAAAGCTCCAACACGTGCATTGCCCACAGACAATAAGGTACAAAAAAAATCATCTATCGATAAAGTAATAACCTAAAAATCTGAATCTAGTGGCACTCCTGGAGGTGACTGTACTTTCCTTAAGCGGACTTCGGTAGCGCTTACTACTGACTTATTAGTCTCTTTTGTCACAGTCACTTTTTGCTCAGCTGCTTTTCCATCCTCATCACCATCTTTGATTTGTTGCAGCAGGAACTGCTTGTCTCTACCCTCCTGTGAAAAAAGGGAATAAGGAATTTTAAGAGTAATCTAGTCATAAACACATTGTGATATAAATAAGAAATTAAAAGGACAAAGCAGTCTAGTTTCCAATTCAAATTAAATATAACTTAAAGAAAAAGCAAACTTTGGTACTATACACTCACCAAAGCAAGTTGTTCTTTCATCAGTTTTACCATCTCTTTTCTGGCTGAGGCCAAAGCATGGTAGTAGTAAATCACAATCCTAAAATGGCAAACAAAAGGTGCTATTTATGCATACACATTATGTTAAAATTTTTGTAGCTTAAGCATTTGTGCTTTTAAAAGAGAACACTCCAAAGTATCATTTACTGACAGAGTAGAGATAATGTTTAACTTAATACTACAACACAGCACTGCAACAGGTACTTGAAGTAGTACATGTACATAAATGTGGAAAATAAATTAAATTAGCATGCCTATGCTTAGTGTTAAGACATCTTGAAAATTGCCTGTTGTATATAAAAACTAGCTTAAAACTTTAAGACTTGAGTATACAACACTGCTTTGCCAGGTAATAGAACATTTGATTCTGAACATTTTACTTATTGATGCTGAGGGCTGATTTGCACACTCACAATAAAATGATAAAGGCAGGGATTGTAAATCCAGCTGAAGAGATGAATTTTAGGCCTTCTTGCAACCACGTTGGCCATGTGGAAATAGCCAGAGGGATCACATCGATCATGTAGCTGTAGATGCGGAAAGGTCCACATCCTTTGGAGGGAGTTAGCCTGCAATAAATACCACAGTTTTAAAAAATGAGAATTGGGAATGAAAAAAAAGTCAACTTGTTTTAAAGATTACAGAAAAATTACTTTTGAGGTTTTTTACAACATGTATCACAGACAGATTTTATTCTTACTACATTGTTGGGAATCAAACATGCGATATAGTGACATATTTCAGAACTACTTTTGAATACAAATATGCGGAAGTTTACTATGGAATTGTGATTATTTTTTGCTCCCTTTTCTAGTCCTAATTGTATCTTTAAATACACATCCCATTTAATAATAGTTGTTAAATCTACCTAAATATGTTTTTTTAAAACAATTTTTTAGATAAAAAGATGAGCAGATCAATAAATTGAAATGAAAAAAGATGACAACGCATCCCTAAAATACTGTGGACATATTTACTATCATGGAGACTACATATTCATTTTCAAAATATAAATATTAAAAGTTTGGCAACAACCTTTTTCACACTTGAATCATATTTTAAAGTTATGTAATTTTATACTTGAAAAGAACGTTGAGAACTGAACAAGAGATCTTACTTAGTAATACACCAGCCCACAGGTAAACAGATGAGTCCAAAGGCAATCATCAGGATGACCATAAAGAATGAATTGGACTTGGAAGCTCTGTATGGACGGTCAGGCGGTTCCATGTTAACCAACAGGGACGCCTGTAATGTTCACAATATTATTCACTTAATGCAGTCTGGCATTTACAACTTAACACTGGTACAAAAAAATTACAATATGTTATTGGAGAATGATCAGTGTTGTTGCCAATTATAGGAAAAGTTTTTAATTTAGACATTTAGAACATACCTTTTTGAGGTAGAAGTAAATAAAATACTTAATCACGTAGAGGGCTGGAATAAGGGGACTGAAGAACCCTCCCAACCTGAAATAGAATGTAAAAAACTTCTTACTTCATGATTTGACAACCTAGAGAAATGTCTTCAGGGTGAGAAAGAGATAAAACCAGACACAGCACATAATAATTTTCTGCAACTTTTTTCAACTGAAAATATGGTTTTATAAAGCAAAAATAATACCATCAATGTGAAAATGAATGCAGCATTTAATCTTTAACATTTTCCAGAGCAATGCTATGAATGCTTAACTATGGTTTATAATTTTTGTGAAAAAATATTCTAGAAAAAGCTCACTCACCAGCACAAAGTCTGGGAATACACCAAGTCAAGCACATTTTGTGTGATGACAAATTTTTGAAAGCCTATCCTTTCTGACAATCCACAGGAACACTTGCTCACAATCAATCTGAAAAATTAAAAAAATGTATCTTATTCCATTTATAATCTTACATATATATTTAAATAATGAAATACTTTTATGGCAAATGTGATAATAATTTTGATGAACCTTCTCAACTTTTTGACCAAAATTGCTTGGTGTGTTTTGTCATATATGGTACCATCATTTTTTAGTGATCCAAAAATCAGTACTAGCCAATCAGTACAAAGTTTATTCCATCTTCATTCAAATGATTCTAACATCCTATTTAGCTTGAACCTCCATTGAAAAAGCTAGGTTCTGTTCAAGTACATGCATAATTTCATCAATTTGAGATAACAGCAATATCAATCCACAGTTATGTGGCAGAAGGCAATATTTACATTTCATATACTACATAGAAGCAGGTGAAAACTGCCAGACAGACAGCCTTATAATAGATTTCTATATCCAGTAGTTCTACTATTCCTTACAGATATACATATGTAAATCCATAACTTACTTTCTTGGGAATTCTATGAGAAGAGTTGTGAAAGTTACTACGATCATATCCATAATAACCAACTTGTATATCTGCTGGCCAACATAGGTCTCCCAACACTGGAAAGTTAAAAAAGAATAATTAAGTAAATGAATAAATATAAAAAAAAGTGCTTAAAGAGTAGATGTCAAGATAATAAGCTGTTATTTTTTGTCAATTTTTACTTACGAAATTGCTGTAAGGTTATTTGTTTTTTGTCTAGAATGAAGCCATTATATACAGATAATTCACTGGTTTTATTTCAAATTGAACAAAAACAAGATATGAAGAAAATAGCAGTTTGAAGGTTATCCAAAATACTACATTAATTATTATTATTATTATTATTATTATTATTATTATTATTGTGATGATTATGATGATGTTAGTTTAAAAGATGCTTAATTCAAAAAGGCTGCAGAACTACATACCAGTATAATATTAATCAACAAAGACAATGATAGAGATTGGTGAGCGACCAACATTATACCAAGCATCGTTCCTAGACTAAAGACCCACCTCTATAGAGGGGCACGGTGAAATGCCCACATTGCAAGTGTCTTTGGTGGCACATGTCACTTCTATGTAGATGGTCGCTATAAGTACTGCCAGAGAGGCAAGTTTCAGGAACACAACTCTGGAAGAGAAGCAAAAAAGACTGAATCAGATGTTCAATACTAATATACATGTATATATATATAAATGAAAACAGTAAAATTTTAACTGTAAAAAAAAAATTTATAAATCTTTTAAAGGAATGCCAAAGAAACCAAAAGTTAACAACTCTGGAGAGACAATCAAGGAACAACTAAAACATTCACTCTTTTGCTATATCCTTTGGCTCCCGAAATATTAATTTTAAAAAATTCATGTTTAATGATTTTCACAGGGCAATAAAATAAAATAATAACGGTTCTATTCATACCTAACCAGTGTAATTTGTACTTCAAACATCGGTGAATAGTCTTCTCCACCCACCACTTTCTCAAACATGAATGGAACAATGACATTCAATAATGTAATGGTTGTGGAGGGAGTAAACTGGATTAGAAGCTGGATAAATGTCCCATAGGTGTTGTAGTCCAAGCCTTGAGTAAGCTTGAAAAAAATTTGATATTACACAGTTGATAAAGCACTGGGTTTAATATGTGTTATTAACTGATAATAAAACGTAGTCATATTGTGCTAAACAATCACAGCTAGCTTTCTTTTAATACAAAACAGTATGTCAATTAGTTAAGAAAAGAAAAGGTACTGCAAACTGCAACTGAATGGAACTGGAAACAGTGCACTTGAATATTTTGGATTTACTAATTATAAATTAGGAGCATATCTCAATTTTACAGATGGAAGATGTAATATCAAGTTTTAAATGTAATCAGTTACAAAACAATACACCTACCAACTGGAAAAGGACAACTATTTTTTTGACCAAATTTATGAAACATTGAAAATAATTATTTATTTTGCATTTTAAAAAATATAATAAATTTAAACCGATTGCTTTTGCCCTTACCTCTGTGACTTTGACCTGCACGTAGTAAATGAGATATCCAGAACCCCCCAGCACTGCCAGTACAAAAAGATTGATAAAAACGCGAAGTAAACCTAACCCAAATCTTTTACAGCCAGACCGATTTTGCCTCCGATGTGCATCACGTTCCTCTCGTAAATCAGCCTAAAATAAAGATAGCAAAAATTATGGCCCTTAAAGACATGCAGTAAGTTTGGTAAACACTTGAATACTTGAAAAAGATACTGTATATCAAAAATCTATAAATTATGCTCTACTTAACGTTAACCTCTCCTGTGAATCATCACATAGGCTTCAAGCTAGCAAAAGTTTTCAAGCAAATACTCTTATACATTTTGTATTTTTCTTTTCTTTTTTTTTTTTTTTTTTTTTTTGTTACACCAATTATAATGTGTATATATATACACTATAAATTGCAATTATAATTGTCATTTGAGTTCCTTACAGTGATTTCAAAATGTAAACTCTTGTGACGTAATTCTGCTGCATTATCATCCATGAGTGTGAAATCCCAACCTCCAAAGACTTTGTTACAATGCTGGAAATATTTATCTTCACTGTTAACCATGCTCTCTCTTAAACCTTTTCCAGTGCTGTAATGGGAGAAAACCAATATCATGGGATTATAAATGTTTTGTGGACCATTTGAAATCATGGGGAATAGATAAAAGGCAGGAAGCTTTTAGGTGCAAAAAATTACATCGTTTGATCATGACATGGCAATATCAAAACAGACTACGAGCAAGTTTGATATGTAAGTTATATTCTAGAACTGGTCATAATTGGCATGACAATAATAATAATAATAATAATAATAATAATAATAATAATTGTTTTGGCAATGACTCAATCTTTTCAATGGGCAAAATTATCAAACTTTCAGATACATAATTTTATGATCACGAAACTAATATCTTTTTATAAGCATTTGTGGTGCTTTTGCTGCATGGAATAGAACTAAAGAGTAGCCTTCTTATAAAATTTGTTGCTTCCAATTAACAAAAAAGTTCAAATTTCAAGAAATTATGATTTTAAAAATACAGTATCTGTAAAATTCACAATTTTACTTACTGATGCATTAGCATGAGGAGACTGAGTCCAAGGTAGGCTCCGACCACACACAGGTAAGCCAGGGGCATGTTGTATGAGTATGATACTGCATCAAAACTCCCTATATACAGTGAAGTTGTAGTGTAATTCCCCATAAACAGTACAGTCTTCTCCATCCAGCCCTTTGAAGAAAATACAATTGATTAAATCAATTAATCAACCAGTCAGTCAATAAACTAAACCCAATTTGATGACATTGAAATTTTGCCTGTAGAATTTTTATTACTATAGATTTTCAAATAATTCCTTTATTTATTTAAAGGTTTGCTTGTTCAAATAAGTGTCTATGGCAACACTTTATCAATGAATATGGGCTAATGGCCTATAAAATTAATGTGATTAAAATTGTGGAAAAAAAAGCAACTTTGTGAAGTAAATGTACAACTTACTGTTCCTTGCAGGAAGTCAAGAATGAGATATCTCCAATCTGTGGTAATATTCACAGTATATTGTTCTGAGCAGTTATTAGCGAGCGCTATAGCTGTGTCTAGGTTGGAACTATTCCCAGTGAAATATGCACTTTGGGTGTTGAAAATAACCTGTGGCAAAGTGACAAAGGTGAAAACTATCACAGCCAGGTAAATATTGAGGAAAAATAGCCACTTCAGGAACGTGAAAAAGGACAAAATACCAGATCCAAAATGCCCTGGAAAACAGAAAAAATAAAGAATTAATTTAGGTTTAATAAAAAAAAGATGGAACATATTCTGTGCAGTTTAAAAATAATGTTGATTGAATGATTAAAAATTCTTTAAATAGCTGACTGATTGGAGCATTTTAACTCTTTTAAGATTTTATTTACAGCTGGTCTACATAAGAATATTTTTCTTGTTTTGTAATAATCACAATTTCACACAAATGTCAGGATGAATGTTTAGACCATTTTATTTTTTCATAACAACATTACCTTCTATCTTCTTGAAAGAACTGCCCCATACTTCAAAATAACCAAAAAACTCCCTTGCAGAAATCTTGAATTTGTTGTAGGCCTGAAATGTTCAAGTTAGAAGGATGTAATGCTATTTTTGTTTTCATTTCTGTCAATTAAGCATGTGGATGAAAGTTCAGAACAGATTTTTTGTACAAATAATATCATTCATAATATTGTATACTTAAATTACTGGTTATACATGTAGATGGCTAAATGGCAAATATCTACTAAAAATGTTTGATAACAAAATATCGAATAAAATATTATATGTGGGCAAAAATGCAATTTGAAAGCAAGATAAATTTTAATCATTTGGACAGATTGTAAAAGATTTTTTTTTTTTTTTTTTTTTTTGTAAATATAACAAGACTGATTTCATTCTATTTAGACTATATATAAATGAATTCGTTGTTGATCATGGCCTTACCAACTTCCTTCGGTACTTCCAACCAGCCCAGCCTGTGACAGTGGACACCTTGTTGGCCATTAGTCTGTCCCTGAAGATAAACCATTATAAATTGAATTACTTAATACCATTTATAACTGAATTACTTAATAAAATGCATCACTGTCACAAATACTTCTCTGTCTATGGACAAACAAATACCCCAAATTTCTAAGTCAAACACATTTCACATCAGAAACACAGCTGCATTGAGAAACCATCTAAGGGCACATTCCCATAGATTTTAGATCCATTTATTCCCGTGTGGAGTCTCACTAGATTATTGTCAGATAATCCGGCTTAAATGTCCGTCCTGCCTACTACAAACTGTAAGGGGGTAATTAACTTTCATGCCCGCTTGGCTGACAGCTATTTAGCGTGAACCCCCAGGTAGTTAGGTCGATCTAGTTAGATCGATCTAATCTCTAGGAATGGGGTCCAAGTGACACGTTCCTCTGCGGCTACTTTTCTAAGCACCCTTATCCCACCATAACTGCAGTTCTCTCATTTATGGATGTCCACACGAAAAAAAAAAAACTAAATAAATAAGCATTATTACTATTATTATTATTATTATTAACCACCCAATGAAGTTGTTTAAGTTACAATAAACTTAAGAATAAGTTATTTGTTCTCCAATATTTCGGCCTTTCACATGGCACCTTTTTCAGCAAACATGATTGCAGGTGTTTATGTTATTAAATGAAATTAATTCTTATTTTTTACTTCATGGCCTGCAGAGATGATAATAAACACTAAATTTTTTAAGATATTTTTTTTACACTTTTTTAAATACAAAATGGCATATCTGTTATTTGGGGCAGGGTTTCATAACTCAGAGGGTTTTGTTTAATCTAGATGAGAAGGTATATAATATTCAACATTAAAAAGTGAGAGTGGTCATTTTCTGACAGTAATAGGCAAATTCTATTTAAGTCATTTGTTTAAATTGCTATAATAGATAAGCTGTCTAATTAATTTAGCATTTCTGTTTTGTATGTGTACCAGAAATATTGCACCTAATTCAGTTCTTATGTACTAACAACACAAGCCCTGGGTATTGCACAGTTGAATAAATCATCACAAACCAGAGGAAAACTATTTCAAACTTATATAATCAATATCACTTAGTTATTGATTTCCTTCTGCATGCTTTGCCCAGGTGCATGATGACAGTCCAAACTTACTGACCTTTTGTTGAAGTTTCCATACTTTTTTAGTTTCTTAGATTTGCCATTAAAATGACCGTTTTCATTTTTTAAAACTTACTACATTCATTTTCAATGCCCTATCCTGTTTTATGTCTAAATACGTTTGAAAATTTTCTTAGAAGTGCTTTTGATTATCTTAGTTTCATTACAAATAACTTGCAACTACCAATGAAAGTATTGGATAGTTTGATAAGAAATTAAGCCACCTTTTCCTGGTCTGAATATTTTGCCTTCGTTCATTACGTCCACGTTTTGGTTTAAACAATGACGATGCTTGAGGGTCTGGTATTTCTTTCTTCTTACGCCTTCGCTCATAATGCCATGTGCTCCGTTTAGAAACCGATCCATTAATGCTGCACTCCTCCAACACCAAGTCATCCTTATGTCCTTGTGGTGCTGGGAAGACTTTATTCTTTGACTTTGTTTCCATCGTTGCAGAAAAATCAGCTACATGCTGGTACATACACTGCCCAGTTCTCTGTCCGTTCCAAAGTGCATTGTGCTAACGAAGAGCAATCTTACTTAGCGACAAATTATATGGATTCTTACTGGATTATACAACCCATAGAATCAATATTGGTGCAGCTTATTTGTGGAATTGTATTGGTTTTCTGTATCATTCCAAAACACCAACTAAACAAAGGTTGTTTATATATATATATATACTCCTGAGCAATAGTCAAATCAATGAATATGGTTTTGCATTGTAAATAAAAATGCCACAGAATACTGAAAAAATGCTGATCACACGTGAATGTGTTGCTTGCTGATCCAAATCTAGTATACTTGATGTCAATGGTTGATTTCAATCCATCTACCCCACACTGTTACTTTTCCAGTGCCTGTGAATGTATTGTGTAGCTGTTTGTAGTTATAAAGATCCTCTCTCATCTTCCATGTAAAAGTATGCAGACATCTTTCTTCCAGTATGTACGCATATGTTTTTTCTACACCTGTATCTCTCGCAGACATGTCAAACATGAATAAATGTTTCAGCTGCCAACAAATCAGTTAAAGTCTTATCATTCTGCTTCTTTTATCTGTAGATATGTCTGACACACTTTACGTCGCTAGAGACTACAACACGCATAATTGTCCTTTACTTTATCACAGTTCAAACACAGTTGCCAATAAAATTCAAAACTTCTTTCTGATAAAAGAAATTGATTGGTGTTTTTGTATGCTCTTTCGAAAGTCTATTACTACATATCACCTTTCCATTAGTGGTACCAGCAATCAATTCACTGACTTATCTTTCAAACTGACAACAACTACCATAACCACATCTGAATTGTTAGTTAGTCAAGTATGTCCTGCTTTCTTCAACTGACTTGTCTTTCCATTTGATGGCAACTACAATATCTGCATCTTGTTTTAATTATAGCCAAGTGAAGTTCCATTTCATCCTAGAGCTNTAATCAATTCACTGACTTATCTTTCGAACTGACAACAACTACCATAACCACATCTGAATTGTTAGTTAGTCAAGTATGTCCTGCTTTCTTCAACTAACTTGTCTTTCCATTTGACGGCAACTACAATATCTGCATCTTGTTTAAATTATAGCCAAGTGAAGTTCCATTTCATCCTAGAGCTTGATAAGGACACTTTTTTTCCACCCACATCTTTAATCTATTTTGTTGACTGCATGCTTGTCTACCTGAATGTTAATACTGAACCTATCTTATACACAGGTAGTTACTTTATTGACATCCAGCCGTGATAATGATCCCGTTATGTGGGCTGGTCCTCTGTATCCATACAACCTTAGTGGGTGAAAATGGTTTCAGGTTCCTAGTAACTGGACAGGGAATTGGCCCTAACTGTGTGCCATTGATCATTATTAACACATGAAGTATGACATCAGATGTCAAAGATAGAATAGTGCGAATGAAATTCCCATAGCACAAGCTACAAAGCAAATATTACTTTCAATTCTTTTCAAGTTGACTTTTGTAGTGAGGTTTGCTAAATTCACATCTCTTTATTTAATTAAGGGTTACTTTATCAATTAGATAGAAAATAACAAGGGATGTAACACATTGATCCTCTTAAGTGAAGATTTCAATTGTATCTTCAGTGACAATGTCTAACATTGCCTCAAGTTAATAGCAATCCACAAAAATAGACTTTTCAAATAGACTTTTCAGACTTAACAGGATTTTTCATTCTTTTTGAAAACAATAATCAATAGGTGAAAAAATAGCAACTTTGAATATCAAATTAATCTTGACGGAAATAAACCTACTGTACTTAATCTATAATCATTTTTTTTATTGTAAAAGATTATTGACTGCACATGGGTAAAAATAAAGCTGCTTTTAAAAAAGGAAAGAGCAGGAAATGCTGTTTGGAACAAATATACCAGTAGACAAAATATACAATGAAATATGTGTTAGAAAAAAAAAATAGGCCAAGGATAGGTGAACAAACTATAAATTTTTTTCTGGACTAAAACAACAAGTAAAATTTTGTGAAAAAAATTATGTACAGGTATGTATACTCCAGACTTGAAAAAGACCACCAGAAATCGGGTTAAAATTTATTTTGCATTTTTAATTTACTAACTTTTTCTGTTGCAAACAATACTTTTTGGAAATAAGTTAATTGTGCATACTGGTTGTTTCCTTAAAATAATTGTACTATATATATAAGTTGTCGAGTTTTGGGTTAGTAAATTTTCAGCAGACTGCCAGTACCTCTATAGACCTATAGTACAGGTGTTACAACACAGGTCAAAATGCAGGGAAGAATAAAAGCCTTTCTAACAATGCAGTGTAATGCAACCACAGAGTCAACATAAGATTTTTTTATCTCGAAATTTTTTGGAGAACAATAAAAACATTGAGTTTCCGGTTACGCCAACCCTAAATGATGTCAACAGCCAGGATTCATAATGCTTTTTAACACCTTTCTTTATAAAAAATGTTTTTCCTCCCCAAGCTATGTTTAGACCTTATGTTTGTTTGCAGGGAGTTTTAAAGCGTTTTTTTTTACAGGTATAGGGTTGTATTGTGTACATATCTGTATAATCTAATATCCTGTGCCCCACTTACGGCTCATACTAAAGGCCAGGTATAACGTCTACCATTTCAGCCTTCTCTGCATGTCTTTATGTGATTACAATATACAGCTTAACAAAGCACCTAGCAACGGGTACACAATATTTTGCCAAGTGTTCAAGTACTTATAAGTTTGTGTATTGACCGCATTAAGACTTCACATTGGTATTGAACTTAGTTTTCAAGTATATTGTGCTATATGTTCTATCTAGTGGCTTTGTAGCTAATAGTAAAGCTGTTGTATTTCGCAAGGAACGCGAATGTGAACTTGAAATGCATATTAAAATTGCAGGTGTATTACAAGACTGCTGGAAAGTCTAACTTCAGTTTCTTAATCTCACCATATTTATGCTGAATTATTATGACAAATCATAGCATATAAAAATTTTTAAATCACAAAAATTCATTTCAGAAGAAAAGGCAAACAGGCATTACTCAAATATGTGGATATGATATTTTAAAAAATAGATGGGGATCGGGGAGCAACAGGGATGGGTTTTTAAGATATATGAATTCATTTCTTGAACTTTTTACACAGAGGTCCTTACATAACACAGCTATATACCCACACATTTGTGCTCCTTGAAATATCCTCAATTAAACAGTTTATCAAAGATTTGTTAACCACACCAAGAAGGCTGTAACAGTTATGTATTTACATTTTCTTTTTTATCAAACTTTTTTGCTGTTGTTTAAGTGGTGCACTTTTAGATTGCATGAATATTGAATCTTGTTGATGTATTGATTGTTTCTTGTAAAACGAGTGAAGTAAGGTGTAAATTAAAATATGCCAGAGTTTTAATGGAAAACATTTTTCAATGGGCTGATAGAAATTCAAGTTGTCTATACATCAAAATAAATCACCTTGTACTGGTAGTTAACTTGCATATACAAATTATAATATGTAAACTTCCAAGAAAATTTTCAAATGAAGTAGCATGTTGTTATAATTGATCTAATTGATTCCCTTACTGAAATGAGGATAATGTAAACAATCATAACTTTTTTTAAATTATTTCATGCACCTATATGCTCTATTATTTATTACAAATTTTTTTCTGACATTGTCTTTTTCATGTAGCTTATGCTAACAATTCAAAGTCTTATTGTACTACTATTACAGCAATTACTCCAGGTTTAAAAAATGACTTTTATTGGGTGTGAAAGGTAAGTTGGTATTGAGGCATAAATTGTTCGAAAAATATGTCTTAATAGAGTACTTTTACCAGAGTCTACGTACATGTAAATTAGTGGTTGAATGGGTAACTAATGGGAAATTGTAAAAAATGTTGGCCTTTTTACTACAAAATTTTGCCTTCTGTACAAAAAATCTAGATCAGATTATTTCAGAGAAGAACTTTTCCCAGAAAAAAGGCCTATCCCCACTCCCCTATTCCTGCCTATAGGCTTGTGCCTATTTTTTTTCTGTCTCTAATCCCATGAACTGTCTGTTAAAGCACATCATGATTACTGCATAAATGAATACACATACTACAAAATACTACATAAATAAAGAAAAACATGAAGTCTTACCTTATAACTTTCTTCATGGCAATCGATGTAGGCATATCTCTAATATGCTTCTTCTGATGGTATTGTTCTTTCTCATCCATGGCTGCATCCGCACCATGATAGTCCCCCAATTCAATGTCCACCAGATTATTCTTGCTGCTAAATTTGTCCACATTCCTTCCAAGGTGGCGGGGGTCAATCTTGTTCTTTTTCATAGGGTATGGGTGTGATTTGGCTTGGTCTCTTCGTAACATTTTTCTTGTCATAGAGGTACCCAGATCAGAGATAAAAGCCTTACGACTGGGAAGCTGTGCTAAAATGGCATATGTTCCAATCCGCAACTTTTTCGTATTTGCTTCTGTTAGGTAGAGGTCATCTTTTTCCTCTGAAAAAAAAAAGAAAATTGATTTATCACAACTAGTATCATGTCTGAGTATTTAATGTCTAAGCATTTACCATATCAGGATCATAAACCTGTAAATAAAAGGATACTTTCTACACTTGCTTCTCTGCTGACACAAAGTGAAATGTTAGGTTTACTGTCATTGCCAGCTATAGCTCTGGTTTTGTTATCTGTAGTGTAGAACTTTTGATGACAAACATTAGTGAAATTTTATTTAAAATGGTCCATATCTATGCCTCATAGTATCACAGTACCAAATTCATTTTGAGTACTGGAATTATGAAATTTGCACAAAATGGTATTTTTACAGGAACTTTTACTATTTTTCACTTCTTTTATGCCATGATACTATGAATGAGTGCCTTAAGATATGATTGTATGCTAGGTGATTGATGGTCTTATAAAGTCTTTATTCACACTGATAAGGAGAAACTGACATTTTATAATATGTTATTGCTGTTTGTCATGCAATCGTCATTATGTCCTAACTGAGACTTATCTTTCTTTCTTCAAGATAAATAGTTAATTGATAATATCTATGTGCAATTAACAGTTAGACTGTATAATAGTGAATACAATAAAAAAACAGCTATAAACATTAAGAATGATTACAGAAAGGAGTTTTTAGATAACATTGATAATGGATCTGTATTAGAATTATATCAAAGAAGTGTCAGTTCTTAGGTTTATAAATTTTTCTTGAAATTTGTCAGTGTTCTTGGAGTTTTAGTCATTAAAAGTTCTACAGTTCTAATTTCTGGTAGCTTATGGGCTCTACATAAGGTATAGAAATGTTTGGCCTGCCTCAGAAAACTGTAGAAATCAAAATTAAGCATTTATATATTTTCATCATATCAAAACTAAATCATACATGTATATTTTCATTGCTGTGCAACAATACCTACATGTATTCACATTTTAATATATCACATATTAAAATGTTCTCAATTTTTTAAAATTATTATTCTTTTTTGTGAAATGTCACTGGTCTCATGAAGATAAATTACAATTAAAGAAATATCTATTTATTGAAATTATTGACTTAAATGGTGTAGTAAAACACATTCATAGAAATAAAATATTTTATCGATCAAGATATGCCATGCGATCAATAAAATATAAAAACTAACGTAATTTTGTTTGCGTTACCTCATCTTTTACATCTTTGTCATGACAAAATGGACACAGCTAAGACCTTGAAGTTACGCGCATTATACGGAAACTTATATTTCCGGAAATAATTTAGCCTCCCACCCTGGATATCAGACCTTGAATATCAGCAAATTCTCCGGTATTTCTT